AGCGAGACATTTTGCTAATGCATTGATTAAAATTGAATTTTTAATTAAAATATTGGCAAAAGGATGAATCTATAGCGTGAACAGGGTGGCAGGGGGTCTGGCGGGGGTGGGCTGGCAGTGTGTGTGCATATGGCAAAGTTTTTGTTTGATTTGTGCAATTTTATCTTTGAGTGGTAGCAGCTGCTCGTCGTTGTTGTTGTTGTTGCTGCTGCTGCAGGAAGATAGATCTCTGGGGATTAGATGTCGTATGCGCTGTTTAAATTTTGCATCTTTAGGGGTAGAATGCAGACAGAGGGCTTAAACAAAGTCCTAGAGAGAGAGAGATCAAATAAGGCAGAGTAAGGTATTACAGCGCACAACAGTTGGGAACAATTTCAGAGCATTTTTTTTGTGCATTTGTGGGAGCAGTGTGAGTCCTTCCAAAGAGCGTTTTCTTCTCTTTTTGAGAGCTAACTTGTACAGAAAGTAGATAACAAAGGCCAGAGCTAGCTCTAATCAAAGTTACAAATGTTCTGCGTCATGCAGCAGCGCCCATCGGTCACTTATTTTGTATTTATATCCCGGAATCGGCGCTTTACTGCCTCATGGTGCCACTCCTCTTGACCTCGTGCTCTTTTCGCACACCAAAGTCTCACCTAACACTCATATTTGCTGAACTTTCACATTGATTTGCCCAATAAAATGCCAAGAAACTAACCAGAAAGACATTTCACTTTCGATTGCTGTTCACTTAGTCAGAAAACCTGACTCTCAGTCCCAGGCCTTAAATGCCCCCAAATACTGTATGGCAATGCCAATAAATCACATGCAATTATGCAAGAAAAGCATCCTTAAGGAATCTTCACACTTTCACACACATAACACACACACCACAACACACACAGCCAAGAATCGAAGTCGAATCTTTAGACAGAAAGGCAGTAGAGGAGTGTCCTGTGTCCTGTCTGTCTGTGTGTGTGTCTGTTCGTTGACCAGAAAGACCACAAGTGCATTATATCCGAATAAATCTCTCAATTGCTTTCTTATGCAGCAGCAGCAGCAGCAGTCGAAGGAGCAAGCAGCAGCAAGCAGGAGAAAAGGATTATTTACAGAAAACATTTTCTTTGCATTTATTTTTGGGCTTGCAACTTGCAAGTCGTAGATGGAAGAGACGCACATGCAGCGGGGGGCAACATGAAACATAAGTGAAGAGCTAATAAATGTACGCAAAATTTCAAACAGGCCAAACATTTACTTAAGCAAAAGCGTACGAGAGAGGGAGAGTCTGCTGCTGCTGCCACAACGAAAGACGTTTATAAGTGAATAATTGTGTGGCACACACATATACCTGTGTGTCTGCGTGTGTGTGCGTGTCTCTGGGTGTCAAGCCACAAACACCTTTTGCGTAAAATAAAGCAATCAAGCAAATAATGTTGCCACATTACACTATCAACAGCTTCCTGCCTTGACACACACACAGGGCAGGGCAGGGCAGGGCAGGGGTAGGAATTTCTTCTTTAATAGCTCTGCCACATGTGGCACACACAAACACACAGAAACACACACACACTCGAGTAAAATTGAAACAACCTTGAGGAATGCCCCACACAGAGAGGGAGACTGGCAGGAGTGGCAGTGGCAAAAGTGTCTGGCAAAATGTCTCGACTCTTGACTCTCGACTCCTGCCACACGCCTGCCACACTTCTGGAGGTCTCCATCTCCATCTCCGGCTACAGCTACAGCTGTGGCTCTGCTGCTCTGTGGCTCTGTGACCGACTCAGTGTTCAAGTCGACGACAAGGACACAGCCATACGGCAAGAGCAACATCAGCAGAAGGAGTGGCAGCAGCAGGCAGAGGGTGGCAGGAAGCAAGCAGCAACAGCAGCAGCAGGATAAGGAACGAGCAGCTACAGGAAGTAGGAGACGTCTCCATGTACCTCGCTCCCTCTCTCCCGCTACCTCTCCAGCTCTGTGTGCACTTTCGCTTTTGGTCTTGCCCCAAAATCTCCTGTCTGCTGTTGTGCCACATATCTAACAAATTATCTGTAATTTCTCGAGTGCAGCAAGCAGCCAGCAAGCAAGCAACTTGGGGCACAGTCTCGGCTACATTAAGCCAATTTTGTTGCAATTTTTAACCCGTTGCAGACGCTGGCAGCCAAGGAAAATCCATGCCAAGAGAGAGTGCATTAGATCCAGGGATATTCCAGGGTATCAACGGCTTTGTTTTGCATGCCAGAAAGTGGAAAGTTTGCTGCCAGTTTGCCCCTCGAAATAATACCCTTGAAAGCCAGTCACTAATATCTGTGGAATCCTCGGAGCCGACGCTCAGTGGGTTAAGAGCTGCCAAAGCACTTGTCAAGACGGCTAACGGCAGAGTTGTGGCTGCCACAACGAAGCGGCAGAGGCAGAGGCAGAGGCAGAGAGAGAGAGAGAGACGGGCCAGGATTTTGGGCTACAAGCAGCCGCAAAATGCTGCTTAACTTCCAGACACAGACCCAGACCCCGAGCAGAGAGGGAGAAGGACACAGAGGACTGGCAGCAGCAGCAGCAGGAGAAGACAGACAGCAGTGGCAACCACAGGCCAGAGGCATGAGGCAAAGGCAAGCTGCTGCTCCTGCTGTTGGAAGGAAGGAAGTTGTTTGTGGGTCGCATTCAAGGCTGACCGAAGCGAGGCCCGAGACGACGACTCACTCGAACCCCAGTCCTTTCCTCTCTCCCTCTGTGTGTGTGTGTGTGTGTGTGGCAGGGTGGCTGTCTCACAAGATGAAAGCCACTTGGGCTTCCCACTCCGCCCCTCATTCATGGGAGTCAGCGTCGAGTCGAGTTGCAGCTTTTGCTTGGGAGTTTTGCCAGAGCCAGAGCCAGAGCCACAGCCAGTGGCATTACCACGGCAGTTGCCACACTGCCACTGCTGCCACAACTCCTACGAAATGACCTTGAGAGTATTACAAATGTACAAATTTGCCTGCCACGCCTCCAGACAGCCGCCTCCTGCCTGCTGCCTGCTTTCGGCTCTGGCTTCTCCTCTGACTTTGGCTTTTATCCTTGCTGCCGGCTGCTGGCTGGCCTTCTCTGCTATTTATCTGCAGCTTGCAGTTAAGGATATTTTGAGAGCCAAAGGACCACAGGACTGCCAGCGGAGAGTCTGGAGTCCATGCCCCAAGTGGGGGTTAGTCCAGACTCCGTGGCAGTGGCCGTGTGGCAGAGTTTTGCATCAAGTGCAAAGTGTAAAGTGATGTGTTAAGCTGTTAAGTGCCAAAGTAATTGTTTTCTTTCATCCAACAACAACAACGACAACGACAATGGGGCATGGGCCAAGCGGCAGCAGGGAACATGCTTGACTTTGCTTTCACTTGCCACTTGACCTTGAGACTTCTCTCTGTGTCTCTCCATCTCTGTGTCTTTGTGTGGCAGAGAGTCAAGCGATGTGTAGTTAACATTTGTTCTTCTCACTCTTCAGCATGTTGCACTGTCAACGTGTGGGGGTGTGGCATCGTCGTGAATTATGTCTAAGCACCAATGAAGAGCCAACTGGGAATGCAATGGGCTTCTGTCGATAGGCAGGCTCTGCCAAGGGTGCAGTGGCTAGGGGAGTGCACCCTGAGGAGATTTTGCCTTTCCAGATTTACGTAGAGCTGTAGGAAGGTGAAGAGAATTTCTCTTTCCTGGAAACTTTCCTGCCTCACATTCACATTCACATTCACAGAGCAGCTTTGGCGTAGGTTTTGGCCCATGCTTGATTCATATCATATTTCGAGACAAATTTCCATTGTATATCCATAGAAATTTCTTTTCCTATCCCTTTGGTTTACAATTTATTCGATCCAATGTTGCCCTGATTTACTTCCATGATTTGATCTCAAGCAACTTTCACGGAAAGTTTCTTCAGTTTGATCAAATATTCCATATTTGGAGCTCTAGAATTTTGTAACATTTCCACACAAAGAATGCCTGAATATTGGTTAATCCATCGACTAATTAGATATAATATCATTTCGTATCCATCATTTAAGACTTCACCTTTCTTCATCTCCACATTTTGCATTTCCTTTTCCTGTCACGCTTTCACCCCGCCCAAAAAGAACACTTGAATTTTCACGTTTTACATTTAGTTTTTCATTGTTGTTTTTATTTCTTTGTTTTTATTTGTATTCTATTGTTTATTTATAATTTAGGGCTTTAACTAAAACTCAAGAGACTTGGCTCTCCGCTCTATGCTGCAAATTCTTTGCTTTCCATTGGATAGACGGTAATAATAATAATTAATAATAATTAATAATTAATAATAGATGCACTCACAATAGATACAGTCATGTGTGTGTGTGTGTGTGTGTGTGTGTGTGTGTGGGGGGGGGAGATGTGCATGTGCTTTTGTGGGTGACTGTTTATGCATAAAATTAGCATTAAATTGATTTGAATGCTGCCCGCAGGAGGGGGGCCATAGCTTGCCACAAGATACTTTTGTATCTCATTGTAGTGAAGTGTATGTGTGTGTGTGTGTGTGTGTGTATCTATGATCTAAAGACGAAAGTAAAGCCTAAAGCTATTGCAAATTTGTACATTATTTACATGGAAATTCCATTAATTTAATTATAATATTTATCCGTATGCATACGTGAGCGTAGATATATCCATTTTAATTATAGATACCATAGCTGTATCTTCAGTACACATATATGTATGTATGTGTGTGTATCTGTAGCTAGACATTTATATATATAGATATATATTATGGATTATTCAGTGTGTGTGTGTGTGTGTGAGTCGAATGAAGCTGTTACAACTAATTTTTGTTTGTTTTAAATCTACATTTAAGAAATGCACAAGTCTCTCGCTTCGAATGCTTAGCGCTAACTAATTAATTAGTTAATTCATAATTATTAACTCACTCTCTCGCTATCTCTCTCTCTCTCTCTCTCGTACGATGCGTGGCAACAAAAAGGCAATCCAATTTATATCAATCGAAAAATAAATAAAAACGAATCAAAGACGAGATCCTATCCTTAAAGGAAAGTTCCGAAGTATGTTGTGTGTGTGTGTGTGTGTGCATGGGGTGTGTCCTGTTAATACTTTTTTATACCTCTTTAAGAATCCTACATACATGTAATAATAGTCCTATATACTCGTATATATCCTACATCCTAGCCGATAAAAACCTTTTTTGCATTTTGCAAACAAAAATCGAAAATAAAATCAAACGTTGGGCATTTTTCTCTCTCAAGTAGCAGTCCAAAAGTAATCCACTGCCTCTCCTCTGACCCTCCTCTCGCTGCCTCAATCCTCGTGCGGCAGCTCTGTGGCATGCTGCTGCTGCTCCAGCTTGATCTTCATCAGCGGCGACTCGCGCACCGGGGCATAGGCTGCCGCAGCGGCCGCTGCTGCCGCCGCATCGGGATTCACGAAGAGCTCGCTCATGTCCTGCGGCCCCCCTGGGCCCGGGAAGAAGTCTTCGAAGCGGGGACTCTTGTTCTGCGCCTGCACCGACTTCTGCAGCAGCCCATTGGCAATCGCCTCAAAGTCAATGCCCGCCGGCAGGCTCTCCAGGAAGCGCTTGTTGTACGCATAATTGGGATGCTCCTGCTTCGCGTGTTGCACCTGTTGCTGCTGCTGCTGCTGCTGCTGCTGCTGCTGCTTGGCGTAGTGCGTGGAGTAGGGGGAGGCGGCACCGGGGCGATTCGACTGCTGTGCCTTGGAGGAGGAGTTGCTGCCGCGCGACTGACTCCCGTACTGACGCGCCTGCATCGCCTCCTTGAGCTCCCGATCCCGCTCCCGCTCGCGTGTCAGCTCTCGCGCATAGCTGGCCGCACTCGAGGGCGCCGCCGCACCGCCGGCTCCCCCACCATTGCCGCCTGCTCCACGCGATGGCAGAACATTGAGGCCGGGCAGTCCCATCAGGCCCAGGGCCGTCAGATCGGGCAGATTCTCAGCGCCCCGCCCGCCGCCGACATTGCCGCCGCTCTGCTGATGCTTGGCCGCCGCCGCAGCCACCGCCGCCGCCGCCGAGACCTGATCCTCGATCTCGGAGCGTTGCAAGTAGGCCGGGGACTTGTACATGTGCGGCGCCTGCTGTTGGTGCTGCTGCTGCTGCTGATGCTGCGCCGCCTGCTGCTGCTGCGAGAGGATCTGGCGGCGCAGGGACTCGGTCATGGTGCTCAGCGGACTGCTGGCATCGGGCGGTGCCAAAGCGGCATTCTGTGCGGCCATCTTGGCGGCAGCAGCGCTGTGATAGCCATTGGTAGTGGTTCCGCCGCCAATGTAGGTCTAAAGAGGGGGAAAAAAGAGGTGCAAAGGGCAAGGGAAAACAAGTTAGGAAGAGGCCAAAGATTGATCCGAAAGGTGCCTGAAAGATGGAAGTCGTAATGGAAGCTCCACTTACCGCATGCGACTGTCCATTGGCGTACTGATGCGCTCCCATGTCCTCCTTGATCTCGCGATAGTCGCGGAAGACCACCGCCTTGATGACACTGCGGATGAGCTCCTCCGGCCACATGCCCAGCAGAATGCGCTGCGGCCTGCCCCGGGCCTTGGGCCGCGGATCGGTGCCGCCATCGAGCGAGGGGCCCAGCATGTTGTGGACTCGATTTGCGTACAGCACGAACGTGGGGTAGGGGATGTCGAATTTGCGGGCTGCCTGGGAGAGGGAGAGTCCCTCCTTGAGGACACTGAAGATGGCCTCGGCCATGGCCTCGGGGCGCCACGATTTGAGCGGGCCACGCTCCCGGAAGCGCAACTGTTGCACGAGATTCTGCTGGTTGGTGTTCCAGCACTTTTGCCACATGGACTGCAGCTGGTACTGGTAGCTGTCTGCTGAAAGGACACCAAGAGGGAGACAGAGAGAATGCAAAGGCTGCTTTGGAGTGCGGATTGGGGATTGGGGGGGGGCGCATATCGCTGCCTCAGGGAAAGGTGCAACACTTACCCGCCACAGAAGCGCCTGTTGCCGCAGCAGCAGCGCCCATCCAGCCGCCATGGCCGCCGCTTTCGATCATTTTTGCCTGCAAGAAAGAAAGGAAAGACACAGAAAAGTTAGTTGAGTCGTTTATTCGGTTGGATTTTCGCGACATTTTTCCTCGAGCCGTTAAAGTTTATGAATGCCATAAATGTTCCTGTTCCTGTCTGTTAGAGGAAGCCAACCAAAAACGCAAATTAGTATACAAAGCGGAGCTACTGGTCTTGGTCTCTGCCTCCCCCTCGGCCAGCCAACAGATTCATTGTCTTGGCGGCTTTTTATGGCCTGGCAGGAGGGAGCAGCATTTATTTATTGCTATTATTAGGTATTCAGGGGGAACTTTCTGCCTCGTAATTGAGCCTGACTTTAACCCTTAAGCTGCATTAATCAGCTACACTGTGAAAAAATGCAACCATTTGGGTTAAGCGAAGCCAAAGGGCGGGCGGGGTCTAGTCGGGCAAAAGGAATTACCATTTGGAATGCGCTTACCGAGAGGGTATAAGGGGTGTATACGAGTTGTATAAGAGCTGTATAAGAGCTATAAATGTAACGAAATATCTATTTCGGTTCAACTAAATTTGGTAATATATTTTTAGCTCCCATCGCTGCACATTTTTGCACTTTAAATTCCAACATAGATCAATCGTTTGCGGCTAACCAAAGCCATGCCGCCTGCTCTACCGCTCTCCGTCGCTCTCTTGCAACTCCCCTGAGCATAGAAAAAAAAGTAAAAATTGATGCACGTTTCATGCATGGCTGAGGCGGAGGCTATAAAGTGGCTCCCAGCCCGACCGCCTGCCCTCGCGACTGACCAGCAGCTTCGCGGAGCCTCCAAAGTCCAGTTCCAGTTCCAGGCCACGCCCGCCGCCGTGGCCATGCATTTTATATACACGTTGGGGCGTAATACAAATTATGTGCAACGCGGAGAGGCACACAGAGAGCAAAAAGCTACAAAAAAAAAAAAACTAAAAACTAAAAACAGGAAAGGCAAAAGTCAGCGGCAGTGGCGGTGGAATAAAAGGCAAACGAATATAATGCAAGTCTTAAATATTTGAAAAGTAGGCACCGCCGCCGCCGCCGCCGCTACTACACGGAATAGAACAGGGAGCGGGCGGAGGAGGTGCAGGCATTGGGCAGACTCTACTGTAGTACAGTGAAGCTAGTCGTACATGCCGCTGACTGGCATGCAGCAGGAAAAAGGTCATAAAACGTATGAATAATTGAAATTGAAAAGTCGGAAGCATTTTTACATTTTTTTCCTAGCAACAAAAAACAGCAAAAAGCTACAAAAAAACAACAAACAAACGAGCAGCATTCATTGTTGCACGAGTAACTGTAACAAATGCCAGGCAGGAATGGATGGCGTTAAAAATGCTATTTTATGTAAAACACTTTGTTAATGATGAAGGCCCATGCAGCCCCCAGCCCCCAGCCAGCTACCTGCTCCTAGGTGTTCCTGTTCTGAATGTACTCTGACTTATGGCAGGCAGTGTGAACACTTTATTGTGCTGTAAAATGCATAGCTAATAGCAGAATGAGAATTACGAGCAGGGGAATTCCATTGGGAATGGGCTGATATGGAGGTAGGTTACACAAGGGGCACGGGGCAGAGGATCTGTTTTTGTTTTCAATTAAATTTTAGTTATTACTTGGCTCTGTGTGTGCTCCATCTATCTATCTATCCGTTCATTAATCTAAGCAAATATCCATCTAGGAATCATCTGTAAATCCATCTAGAAAATGTAACAATTGCATCAGAGCTGTCAGTCTTTGCAGATGAGTAGAGAGATTTTTTGTATGGAACTTTAGAATATTTCCATTTATTATTTGTCTATTTACTTATCGAACTATCTACCCTTTCATTAATCTACTTATTTGTTCGCTCTCTTCCAGACGTTCTTCCACATCTGAAATCCAGACTGATCTACTTTGAAGTGCGTACTCCCATCATCTACATTATTCATTGTCATTAGTCATGTATTCAACCTCATGACCTGCCCTTCCCACAACACTCATATGAATGTATGCACCTCAATCTATCCATTCATCCATCTATCCATCCATTCATCCATCTATTCCTCTGCGTCTCCGTGTTCTTCTTCTGTGGCGTCTAGCAATTACAAAACTCTCTCGCGCATCGTACAATTTTCATATAATAATAAAATATTACGGGCTCTGGCTCTGCTATCAAAAATGTTTAATTAATTAAATTTTCAGTTCCCAACGTCTTGTCCGCCCCCTGTCCCACCAGAGTGTGTGTGTGTGTGTGTATATTCCCCCCACTCAATTTTCCTTCGACAAAAACAAATTTTGAAGTGTGCGCGCATTCAACTTTCTTTCAACTCATTTAATTTAATTTGCGGCGCCTCCGCCACTGCTGACGCTGACGCTGACGCTGACGCTGTTGCCTGCCACAGAGTGTGCGTCGCGTTTTCTGCTTCTGCTGGCTCTGCTTCTTGCCAATTACTCATCGTGTGCCCCATTCACATAATAATTTATTTAATTAACTTTTCCGCTTGCTGCAACAAAATGTTCTATAAAAATTTATTGATTTCGTTTTTTGCCGCTAGAAAAATATTACTGAAGTTTATTCTTTTTCTCAATACTTTTTGATATAGGAAAAACCATTCACAGCCAACCCCACCACCCCCCTCTCCCCACCCCACTCATATATTCTCATTCTCGTTCTGTATATCTGTGGATTACATATAGAATTCTATAACTTTTTCTCTGTGTGTCAGTGTCTGTGTGTGTGTGTGTGAGTGTGTCTGTTGGCAATAAAATATAAATTTATTATACACTCCCCCTCTGCCCCGCTACCACCCTGCGCAATTTTACCATCAATCGAAATGCATGGCAAGGAATAGCCCCCCCAACTCCTTTGCTTCAATTTACTTCACGCCACTCCCTGCCTGCCCCGCTCTCTCTCTCTCTCTCTCTCTCCTACCTTTCAACAGCCTTCAAGTTTTCACTACTACACAGCTCCTATCCTTACTCTTCCTCTATTGCTGCCAGTCCGCCCTCTCTTCGGATTCTAATGCAATTTTAATTTTATTTTTCAAGCGCGCACATAAACTCAGCACTCGATGCCCCACGCCCTCTCTAGACATCAAAACTCACGCCTCCCTCTGCTGCAGAGAGCGAATAAAGACGGAGCAGATATTTGTGAATATTTTCCATATTTTTTAGTAACAATTAGAAGCTAAATTTGACTACAAATAAGTCTTTAAATTGCTCAAAAATATGTGCAAATTGTGTCTCTAATTTCTTTGAGTGTAAGAAATACCACTAAAAACTAGATGGGTTGTTGGCAAGACCTTTATCCTGAACCCATACCCCAGACCCTGGCATACCCTGCCCTTTCCTTCCCTTTGCCCAACCCGCGCTTATTTCTTAACCGAACTTTTGCTGTAGTTTTGCCTCCTGCCTGTGCTTCCACTTCCACTTCAACTCCTGGCAGTAGTATATTTCTTATATTATATAACACTTTATTTATTATTCATTTTCGATTCGTGTTTTACCGTGGTGGCGGTGGCAGCGGTAGCAGCGGTAGCAGCGGCGACGTCTCAAGTTTGTTATTTCTCTTGTCTGCAAGTTGCTTGCCACAAAGCTCCCACACCATGCCCTGGCCATGCCACCCACTCACGCGCCAACATCCCTCTGTGGAACTACTAGCCCAAACCCCAACCCACCATCCCACCATCCCACCCCAGAGGACCTTGCCATTTCCGGGACTTGGTTTCGTTTGGGGCTACACTTTTTGCTGCTGCTCCCTGCTGTTCCTTCTGCTGACGATTGCTTGGCGCCTGTTCCTTTGTAGCCTTCACTATTACTACTGCCACTAGTAGTTTTCGCTCTCCGGCACGCTCTCATTTATCTCTCCTATCTATGAAGACATCACGAGAGAGAGTCGCTCTGGAGAGAGCTGCTTTTGGCATCTTTTCTAGCTGCCTGCTGCCTGCTCTCTGGCTCATTCATTCATTTATTTGTGCGACACTCTGCGAGCAAGCCACACGCATGCCATGCCCACCTCTTGCTGCTGCTGCTCTCTCCCTACCTCCCTCCCTCCCCATAATTCCTGGCTCCTGTTTCTGCAATTCCTGCGATTCCTGTTACACCGCGAGACGACGGCCGCACCTTGGTTCGTTTTTAGTTCCCCCCTGCCTCGTGCCATTCATTAATTTTATAAGACGCTACAGAAATAATTCATTTGAAAGCCGTACACCTCCCATGGGAGTACGCGGGCAGCAAGTTCAATCCCCAATTATCGAGGAGACACCCGAAGATACTTCCCGCTTGCCGCTCCCGCTGTAGCTGTATCTTTAGACCCACTTTTGCTTGGTGGCACCGCGAATCGATTTGCATTTTTAGAAGTCCGTCCCCGCCTTCAACCTTTCGGGGCAGGACACCCAAAAGTAGCAGCAGCAGCTGCCTCTTCCTTCTTTTTTTGGGGGCAGGCATACACAAGACAGCAGCAGCAGCGGCAGCAACTAAATATTTAATAGTATTTTATTGCACGAATTTCACATAAAATATGCATATTGGCCAAATGCATTATTCATGGGAATAATGTGGAAAACACATTTCGTAAAGACTGCCGGCTGCCGCCAGAAGGAAAGGTGCAGAAACGAGAGGAGTGAGCAGGAAAGGGAAAGCTCTCTGCAACTCTTCTTCTACTTGAGCAGCAAGAGCAAGAGCCGTGTCTTGTGCCACATCTAGCGTCTCTTTTTCTATATGTTTATCGTTTCGCGTATTGGAATACAAATAATGAAATGCAAAACAACAAAACAACAAAACAACCAAACGGGGCGGCTATAAACAATTGTTGTTGTGTGTGGCAGGAGGGGAGTACTGCAGGGGAGTGGTACGAGGAAGTAGTCCTCGGAATTGCAGGGAGGCGTTGGGAAATAGTTGCAACAACAGAAACAACAAATGTAACAAATAATTGTAGCAATCATAAAGCCAAGTGCGAGTGCATGAAGCGCGCTCGCTCTCGCTCTCTCTCTCTCTCTCTTCTCTGTGCCGCCTTGACTCTTGTTTGGGAAG